GGCGGCGGAGCGTGGGCCAGGCCAGGAGGTGCCGGTCACCTCTGCGGGCGCCGTGCGGCTCGGGAGGCGCTGGAGATGAGCGCAAGGTGGATTTCTGTCCACACCGTGGGTCGTCCGCATGGGTGCGTTCACAGGCTGGGTGTCTCGGTAGTCTGTCTTTGAATTGCCAGGAGATGAAACCTTTCTCGCTTTTTCCAGAAATGTGCTTTGTGGACAGCTTGTGACTTTCTAATAAAATCTCTGGCATGTGCAGGAGCACATCCAGTCCCCGTCTGCCAGGGTTCCCCAGCCCGGCAGACTGCTAGCTGGAGCGCTTTACCTCCAGATGGAGAGTTGAGCGCGTTTCTCCAAGAGGTGAAATGTTCCTCCCCAGGAAAGCGCAGAGCTGCAAGAAGTCTTGTGCTGAGCCGAGTCTCCAGTGACCAGAAGTCTTTAGGCTGTGCCCTGTTTCTTTTGATCCGTAATTGTCCTGTGGATTGTGAATGCCAGCAGAGCTGGTGTACTTTGCTGCTGGTGCCCGGGCAAGCTCCGTGCTTCCCAGGCCAGGACTCTGAGATGGGCGCCCCCCACCAGCGCGGCCTGGGCGACGTGTCCCTGGGCTGCAGAGGGCACAGCATGGCCCTTGCTGCTTTGTCCGGGAAGGAAGCAGATGCAAACGGGCATTTTATTCTTCCCAAGGTGGTCTCTGTTGTGGCATCTAAGAAAGGCTGCTGAATGGCACTGCGTGACACCATGGCCACAGACTGCACAAGCGACACTAACCTGTGCTTCCATCGAGGTGGTGAAGAGCCTTGGGATGTGGAACAAACTTTTCCTAACCTCATCCCATCAGGTACAGGCTGTCTGCTACAGTCTGCCCACATGCCCCTGGCTAGGTCACTCTACCTCTTCATGCCTCAAATAAAATGGGGGTATTAGTGTTCCTTTGCATTGCAAAGATATGTGAGAAAGAGCATGAATAACAGTGAGAATACAGACACCACTGTCATGACAGCTGTACTAGCATCCATGGGAGACAGCA